GAAGGTCAGGAGGGGAAAAAAACTGTAGCAACAAATCTAGCTCATTTTTAAAGAGGAGACTGTAGAACTCATGCTGCAAGTTTCCAATAAACAGCTACTAATTACATTTAGAATACTGAGTAGGTGTGCAACAAAGTCTGCAACATGAATACAAAAGTTGATCCAAACCAGAGTGTTAGAAATTACTGCAAAGAAAATTTAATAAAAGAAAAGCAAATTCTTCTGCAATTTTATAAATGGGAAACATGCAAGCAACAACATTAACGTCACTACGATTCCCTCTCAAGAGCAGTGTTTAATTGACAGTACAGAGGCATCAGCACAGGTATGACTGGCTTTCTCCAGCTATTTGAAGACAGCTTTACTGATCTCCTGTTCTCCATCTCTTCCAACTGCAGCTGCAAACCCCACATTTTCTACCTTTGGATTCTCTTATCTGCTTAGAGCCACTCATTTTCACTCTTAGCCATCTGAGGCTACAAATGACAAATTGGATTTACCTTCCAATGCTACTACACACAGTTGAAAAATCAAATAAACCAACCAAACAAAACATACCACCTCAGACAATGAAGTTATGTAAAACTTTGGAGACAGCAAGAACACCATAATCCCTGCGAAGGAAGGCTTCTAGTAAGAAAGATAGAAAGAAACACTACTGCAAGCTGCATCACAGACTTATAGAAATATGGTTTCTGAATCCTATAGCTCTACCTATTCTCTAAGAAATGCCATTATCTAGGCTTGTGCTGGCAGCTATGGATATCACATTTGCAGAAAATTATTTAAATAATTTGAGAAACTAATACATTATTTACAAAACAAAACAATTCAGTTCCATGAAATGCTACGCCAACCTTGGAATGGTTGTGAAGTCAGGAGGCTTTGAATGTTCATACTCTATCTTGTCATTCAACAATTACTAATCTTAATCAAGTGGAAGGTAAAAAATTAATATTAATAGGTATTAACTTGCCTTTTGTCTGGCAGTTCAACTTCCAACTGCCAGCAAGGAAGCTCTACATCCTGATCAGGCTTGAGGTGGAAATATCATATTTATACATTAAAGGAAACTTCTTTGTGGGAAATACTAAGCTAAGTGGGTTTAAAAAGATATCTGAAAGTCTGATTCTTACAAAGTTCTTTAAAAGGTCTTGTAATTGTCTCCAAAGCTCTGTTCTCTATTCATCTTCCCTTTTGAAGTTTTGTCATTTTGGCAGCCTTGCATAACCCCAGAAGGAACAGAAAAAAAATATTCCTAGTCAGGCTTCTCCTGCTGTTTTTCCAGGCTGACATTTCTGAAGCATTTATTAGCATAGTTAAGGAATCTGCTCTGTTCCAGGAAGAATTCCTAAGGTATCTTCCCCATCCAATCTTCCTAGTATACTCACAGTTTAAAAATACAGTAGTATCTACCAGATAATGTTACATTCATGAGGAATGGCACAATCCCAGAAGACACACCCATTTCTGCTTCTCACTGAAGGGACCCCAACATGAGTTAAAGCATTGCTGTGATCCTGCTTGAAAGTTCAGGTCTTTCAGGTAACAAGCACCTGGTACCTTTGTAGCTCCCTGTTCCTACCACCTGGCTGACAGCAAGAAGACAGTAACCCCTTTTTGCTGTCGTTGTTTCTACTAAGACACCTCCCAGGTTTTCCTTCCAGGTGAGAGGGTTTCCTGTGCCACTTATTTCACACTCACCCTGGCAGTATCCAATTCAGAATTAAAAGTCCTTACACAGAAAATGCAACTGAAAAAAGAGCAGAGAAAAGGTAGAAAAGCCAAAGGTAGAACAAATACACACAATGATTACTTACTAAGCTAAGACTATATTAACATTAGTTGCTTAACTAGCTTCTCACTATAAAATAATAAAAACTTTCGAAAAGGTGGATATGCTATCATATAAAAGCATTGCACACTTTCTAAATGCAGCTCTGACTAGCTCATTTTCAGTAACGAGACAGGTCATTAAAAAGGTTTACACCGCAAATCACCAGATCCTGGGAATTAATTTTGAGGAAGCATGCCCATGTAGTTGGTGGTACAAATACACTCTTCCCTTGGCCTCTGCAGCAGAAAGGATTCTGGCCTAGACAGACCCACGATCTGACCTAGCTCAGCCATGCCTTTGTACGTACCACAAGTTCAATTTGATCAGGAAAATCTGTTTAAAATAATAAAATAGTAAAGCTGTGTTTCATACACCATGTCTGACCTTTACAACCAAGACATGTATATATTTAAAGATAAACTAACATTCTGAATTGTGTCACCCTAAACTGAGGAATTAAAATTACTGTCAAAATACAATGCTCCAGTTGGGGTAGGCACAGTAGTAAAACATATCAACACATTTCAGTTATCAGGGTTGAAAAACCTGATGCAATACAGTGGTTTCTTGCTCTCCTATGCATTACTACGCATACCCAAATATTTAAAATATTTCAGTGTTTGCACATGGTTTGAACAGCACAATTCATTCATCTGTGTGATTATTCTTCTACTTCCAACACAGCAAAGCTGAGAATATCAAAAAAGGTTGGAGAAAAGAACAGAATATTAGGAGGAACAAACTAAAATGACTAACAAATAGGAAAATGCATAAACACTGTTTTAAATTCTGAGACTTTGAAAAAGCCATTGGACTATAAGATAGATGTTAAGATGCATTTTCATTTCTATACTAGCAGAAAGCCACAAAATACAAACACCAGCTCCAAACTTACTTAGATCTTTGAATTTTGTAATGTTTGTTTTCATACTGACAAGCTTTTGCCATTAATCTCTACTATTTAAAGTGACCAAAAATCTACACTAAATCAGAATTAATATCTCCAAAGAACCAGTAGATGGCAATAAGATGATCTGTGATAAATCTTGATTTTTAAATAAACAAAGTCCATATTAATGTACAACTAGCAAAATTGTATTTTTTTTTTACCTTGTTACCTTGGTCCCAGGAGTCTGGTTCAGCAGCAAGCATTTTATAAAATTTTATACAGACAAATCCGTAAATCCTCCCCCCATCTGAATGGTTAAAACTCTCACTGAGGTGAGGGAAAAAACCAAACCCTGAGAACAATCTGTTCTCCAGTTACTCAGAAGAATAACTTAAAGTATTTGGTAACTTTATATTCTAATAAAACCTAGTTTCAAGAATCTTTTGCAAAGTGCTGTGCATAAAATGCACAGAATTTTGAGTTCATTTTTATTTGTAAAATGTTGTCAAACAGTAAACTAAAGAATCAGTAAACTTTAAGTCTTTATACTACGGTAACCTTAAAAACTTTCTCTAAGTGTTACACCAATGCTATTCAGCATCTTCTGATAATTTTTGTCAGGGTTTCAGCTTGAAATTAAAATGCAAAATGTTTTATGGCTCACAACTGCAAATCTGGGAATAAGATGAATTGCAGTGGCTTACCTGTCTAGCATAGAATATAAAAATCAAATTACTATTGTGTATGATATTAAAAATGAAAACATACACATCAGATTTTTAAAGGAAGACTTCTAGATGTGATTTCTTATGTATATACATATATGTTTGCAGCTGAGGTAGAGGTATTCTTGAACAGAAACAATGTTAATTGAAATCACCAGTGGCTTGGATTAACCTTTTTAACATTCAGAATTAGTAATGCTGCAGAATTATGTATCAATGAACCAAATAATTAACCAATTTCATAAAGTGCATTTTCCCATTTATCTTTCTGTATTTTCTTATTTTCGTCACAAGTGCAAGCACAGATAGGTCTTGCCTAAGATATGTTTTACTAAAATAAAATACCTGATGAGCAAGCTTACTAACTATTTTCTCAAAGAGCTGTAAAGCTGTCAGTAAGGTTTGTACCTTCCCATGAAGCATTTCAGAAACAGAGCCTTAGGTATAACTTTCCATTTAATATTTACTCGTTATAGCTAAATAATCAATTATTTTTTTCCTATACATTTGTGGTGGGTTGACCCTGGCTGGAGGTCACACAAACCCAATACAACATTTAACTTCAAGTCGAATCAAACTATTAGACAAAAATTTAAACCAGACAGAAATTTACTTACTAGTAAATACTACTCTTTACATTTATATCCAAAAACTGAGAAACTACTCAGTTTACACATGAAGTAGCAGTATTCCAACCAAAACCTATAAACAAAACACCTCCATGTAGTATATATGCATACCAGTATGGAAAAAACACACTGCCATAGAAAAGAATCAGCACATGGGAAGACAAATACCTGGAGACTGTTGCCAAAAAAAATTCAGCAGTAAGAAAGTTAGGATTTGTACAATTGCTCCCAGAAATGATCACAATGAATTAAATTAATTGAATTAATTCTCTGATTAAAGAGGAAACAGATTGAGGACAAAGAAAGAATATATACACTGCAACTGGCAGGAAGACAGGAGACAAGCCCATGTGAAAAGCAATCCTTGTTTCTTTAAAAGTGGCACTGGCAACCTGGAGAACATGGACATGAAAAGCTGGAGGGCGTCTATTCGAGGGCCACCAAGATTACAGGGTTGAAGAACCTGACAGACAAAGAAAAGTTGAAGAAAGTGGGTTTTCTCCACCTAGAAAAGAGATGGCTCAGGAGGGTGAGGAGGATCTAATCATGGTCTTCCAATGCCTAATGGGTAGTTTTACAGAAGACAGAGGTGCCCTCTTCACAAGGTTGCACGGTGAAAGGGCTAGAGGCCATAGGCCACAAGTTGCTTCAGGGAATTTTTGTCTTGCCATAAGAAAAAAAAAACCAACAACAAAACAATTCTTTGCCATGAGAACAATTAAATGATGGAAGAGGTTGCCCAGAGAAATGGTGGGCTTTCCCTCAGTGGAATTACTCAAGCCTCAGTTTAAGCTTAACAAGGCCCTGGATAACCTAATCCAGGGTCCTGCTTTCAACAATCTCCACAAGTCCCTTTCAACCTACACTACTCTATGATTCAGCATGTGAAACACTGCAGCTACTGTATTTTAAAGTAGCACCTGTCACAAACACAGAAATAATTTAACAAAAATTTAACAGCACAGCTGTTTTGCTTGAACTTTGCACTGTTATAACTCCATTAGTGCCAATGTATTTATACATGTGTAGAAGCTGATGCAGCCTATTTTCCTCCTTTTTTTATTCTGATTTCTTTACTATGTAAAGTTGTCCAATATGTAAGTGTACTTTGCACATCTGCTAAATCGCAAACTCCTGAATTCCACACAAATAAAGCTGTTTGCTCCACACAAGCAGAGCACTGTACCACACAGAACCAAGCCTCATCTCCACCCCACAACAACGCTAGTCATGTACGTTATTGCTAAGAAAAATGCTAACTAGTACTTAAAAAATAAAAAAACCCCCCCCCCCCCAGCTTTATCAGGAAAGAACAGATAGCACTGAAATACATTGCAAAACATTTAAGGATTTTTTTAAAAGGAAATAAAGGGAAAATACTTTAATTTTGATATAACAAGCCTCCTAAAATTAGTTTTGCTCAGGAAGTGGATCCAAAAGATCTTCAATTCCACTCAGGATGCAGTGCTTACTCATTTCCAAGTTTATCTAGAAAACAAAGTATGATGATGCCTATAACCAGATGATAAATACACCTTCTCATCTACTAGAATCCAAACTGCTTGACTCTGGTAGTGTTTCCCAGTTTCTTTGGCACATTATTTCAGAAACAATTGTCAATTTTACTGCTGAGCTGACTGAGAGTTGGGGCCATGACATGAAGAGTGCTCAGAAGAAGCTCAAAGAGCTCCAACTGTACACCAGGAGGCCTTTGATGAAGAAATACTCTTAATAAAAATTGAACACTAGGAAAAGCAGATGTACCAGGCGACTCTCAACCACTCTGATTTTGCATCAGTTATCGCTTTTAAACATAACACCACTAACTTTTCAGCTTTATTAACAAGCTATGATCCCTGCTTTCCAGCCTTCCATAAACGGACTGGCAGCTCCTCCTCAGCCCTAAAAAACAAAGCTTAAGAAAAGGTTACTTCCCTTATTCCACACCATACCTCTTACATAACTGACTTTTAGATATAGATATATATATATATATTTATGGAGATCATGAAGATCTACTTCAAATTCCTATGAGGACTCCAGGAAATCAAATCCACATGGCCCAATTGTTTAAGCCATGTTTACTACAAATATGCTAATCCTGTCCTTACGCTAAGGTCATCATTTTCATCTACACCAGAGCTGATTACGTTCTTCCTAAAACCGTACTTGTAGATTGTAAGGTCAGATTTTATACTACAGCTATGAAAAGGTGCCTTCATTATTACTTAGTATTTCAAAGCTAATCCCCAAATGCCTCAATGTGACGTAAAACGTCCAGGCTAAGTGCATCTGCATAAAAGCTTTCCATTAGTTTACTACATTTGAGTGCTGGATATACAAGTTACTTTTGGAGATTAGGATACACTCTTGTTAAGCTGTACTTTACAGCTATTCCTTCAAAACACCCCTACTCATGTACTGCTTATAAAAAAAATAAAATCACTAAGTGTTGTACATACAACTGATTTCTTGGGCTCAACTTTCAGAGTAGTCCTGAAACTGATTTAACTAGCATTCTTCAAATTTACGAGAGTCTAAATTAAAAAGAAATAGTCACCAGGAACAAAACTCTTTGTCAGCAATTTTCAAATAAAAATAAAATAGCACTGCAGAATTAAGGTTACACCTTGTTTTAACCCACTCCAACTAGTCACCAATTTCTTTAATTTTCTCAGTTTGTTCAAATCATTGTTAAGAAGTCAGAGGTGATTTGGAACAGTTTCACACAAGCACAGATGCTTGCTTGGAATATCCTACTTTGCACCTGTGGCTCATACCAGAAGTATGTGTCTACGGTTGAGCCTGAACAACTAAACACACTATGGGACATAACTATTTTAAAATTATGTTAATAAAGGCTTATTGTTCCATGCTTTAAGGACTTTCACCTACTTCTTTGTTTGAAAACTGCACTTGCTGCACTCAGTTAGCATCCGCTCATAAGTAAAAGAGGGGAGTTTCATGATTCTGCTCCTAGTTCAAATCATGTTGCCATGGAAGCAGATGTTGGATTGATGAAAATAGGTCAACTGTTCAAAAAAAAAATCACTGTTTTAATGCTTTAAAATATTATTAAATGTTATTATTTTAACACTTACCATTATTTATTATGAAATGCTTAATATTTTATTCTATTTAATTAGCACTTACTTTGCTGATACAATACATATTCCCACCAAAAGTGTAGACAGCAGTAGAGTTAGTGTTAATGAAAAAAAATATTATTTTGCGTAAGTCTGTAAGGGCTGGGTACAGAATGCTTACAAGAATACCACACATGGTTCTTCATTATGTCTGTATGGAGTGATGTCATATGTTGCCATATAAACACATTTCCATTTGAAGAGTATTAGTATTATCTTTAAAAAGTACTCACATTTTTGGAGAAAAAACCCATCAGGATATTGCTAAAACCTGTGCGTGGCTTTGGTAAGAACAGTGCTTTTTCTGTTTACCTTTACATCAGATATATAAATATTTAACTGGAGTCTCAATCACTTCAACCTGATAAAAATATTTAATGACAGCTAAGATTCAAGTAGGCTACCCCATCAGCTGAACATGTGAAAGCATACATAGCCTACTAAAAGAAATTTCTTGTGTTGCTTAACATTTTCACACTGCCTGATGCTGGCAACATTGCATAAACACACCATAAAATTCTCATCTCCATATTAACAAACATGGTAAAGATGCACAGGAATACTGCCAATACATGAGCTTTGTGCTCCTTTCCTAGTTTAGGGATCTTCCTGTAGATGAAGCAATACTTACAGGAGAAAGACTCAGTGCTGCGGACATTACACAAATTTAATCCAGCACAAACCTCCAGCACTGCTGTGTGTCTTCCACATATAGCTGCTTCTGCCCTGCTCCCTTTCACCAGTGAACTGGGTCAGACAGCTTCTCCCAGATCAATTCCCTAATCTGATTCATCATGCACCAGATAAAATAAAGTGCCAGTGTAATGGATAAGATGGGAATAAATACCCAGGAAGCAAAGGTGAAAATAGCCCCATCTCTTTAAGCTGCCATAAATCCATACTGCTGCTGTTCATAGTCCCACAAAATCTAGTAACTTTCCCTTCTTTCTGCCTTTTGTAATCAATGTTTTAACCTAAAATATGTACAACATGACTACTGATAAAAAAATTCATTTCTGTAACTGAGAACACGTTTAACTGTCAACACAATGGAAACTGTCTTCAACAGAAGTGAAAATCATGTTTGCTGTATTCATTTTCATATAGTTTTTGAAATAAAATTTTTTATATATAAAACGTGTTTCACTTTAGAGAACTCTTTTGGACTCCAGAAACTTCATAACTTGTGTTATGAAACTTCTTGCAAGACCATACGACCTGAGCTATTCTCTGACTCTTAAAAATAACCAAAAAAACAAACCCACACCCATGAAGTGGTTAAATATTGCTTAAAACGTTCTGAAAGACTGTCCCTCAGGAGACTGCAAAAGTTTTAAATTTCACATTGAACAGTTTTGGAATTGTTTATAACCAACAACATTCCAAAAATCACATGGCATGTTATGCTGCAGAGAAGTACTATAAGACTCACATGTTGGTTTTGTGTCTTTGTTTTTTCTCAGACAATAAATTATTTGTAATAACACAAAAACAGCCCCCCCCAAATCAACCCAGCATACTTAAAAGTATCAAGCATACTGGATACTTGAAATCAAAACTATTTTTTAAATATACCTTTTCTGACAAGTACATTAAGGGTTATTTTGGGTTTTTTTTTTTTTACTAAGAACAACAGCAAGAGAAAACTTGACTTTTCTTTAACCAAGTGGGTGCCTTTCCTCTCCTCTGGCTCACCCAGCATTAAACTCCATCAGTCCCTTTGTACAATGTAGTTAACTACAGATTGGTGGTCTTCACCAAAGTTGCTTCTTAGTATAAGACAATATTTTTGCCTTTCCTTCCCTCAGTACTAATTTACCTTTTCTCTTCAAACTTTCTTCCCTTTATTTTCTTTATTTGCTTTTCCACAGTATTTTCAGATAATTTGAGATACACTGTTAAAAAGGATTTCCAATACGTAACTACCATGCTGCAATTCCTGTCATTTAAAGGATCGCATAAAAGCGGAACTTAAATTTAGAAAGAAAAATACTGGTATTCTCCTATGGCATACCAAGAAACAGAGGCCTGCCTAGAGATCACGTAGCCAGCTTCACATTAAAACAGGTAAGATGGGAATAAATACCCAGGAAGCAAAGGCGAAAATAGCCCCATCTCTTTAAGCTACCATAAATCCATACTGCTTATATTTAGTCATACAGCTTTCATAATATGATCTCTCTGGATATATTGTCTAGTAATGAACTACAGCATTACATTTAAATTGCCAAATTAGTTTTATATTAAAATACCTCACTGAGGTTAATGCAAATGTTCACACACGCATAATAGAATACATCAGGCTGTCTGTAGATTCAAACTTCAGTAAACCAGGTGACACTCTGCAAACTTTAAGGCTTGGAAAATAAAACTTAAAGCAAGCTCATAATTCATTACATAACCCATAACACCTGTAAAAACAAAGTACATGCTCCACCGTATGGTAATGCGATCTAACAACCCAGACTTTTTGCCACAAGAAAAGTAATCCAATTCCTAAAAGCCAAAATAGCATAAAGTTGAAAGTCAAGGCAATGCCATGTAAGAAAGCTCCAAAGAAAGATATGTCAGGGCAAAGTCCTACAATCTCAGTTAGTATATAAGATGCCTATAGTCATCCCTCATTCCCTGAAAAAGAGTGACACTCAAGTGTTCACTACATAGAATTAGGAAAAGATGAAACCCAAATAGTGTTACAATCACTAGTATCATGACTGTAAATACATACTTGTTTCCGATAAAGCACAGAGGAAATATCCACGAAGATTATGTAGGAGGTCCTTATAAGACATGGGGTCACAAATCAAGTAGAGAAACATCCAGTTCACAAAAATACGGTTATTTTGCTTCTTGAAATAGCACTATTAAATTCTTGAAATACATGAAGCAATAAATACACAGTGTCTTGCAAGCGTATGGAAAAGTATAGCAACAACATTCACAGTACATGAAAACACAGAGAAAAAAAAGAAAGAAATCAAGACGCAAGACTTTGAAACACTTCTTTGGTAGGGAAATCTTCATTTCTTTTTAGTATATGGAGGGGGAAAAAAAATCTACTTCCTGGTATTATTTCCACTGTTGTTCACATTTGCTACAAAACCACATGCACTGTTTGAAGGCAGGCTTACCTCTACCAATGCCACAGTCAGAATAAGGTCCATTTTTGAGTCTGGAAAAAGGGCATTCACTTGTGGAGACATTCCAATCAGTATGCAATTAGTGACTACTGATATTACACTCATAGTTTCAAAAGCCAACTGAAATAAAACACAAATATATTCACAGTTATGACCATTACCTCTAATTTCCCAGTCCCCAAATTGCTCTGGGCAATACGTCTCTCCATTACATCCTCAGAAGACCCATTATTTTAACTTTTTATTTTCCTTCATCTTTTGAATTCTACGACATAAGACTTGTTTGGCAAGCAGTCCAGACTTCATCAGCTCTAAGAACAGGCAAGCACAAGACCACAACAAGGTTTGCAATACCACAATGACCATCTGGTAACCCTGATTTTTTCCCTAATTTGATTTCTCTATATGTGTGTATGCATGTTTGCTGTGACGAAGTTAAACGCTATTCTTCCGCAATTCCGTAGTACTGTAAAGACCTTAAGAAGTTATTTACAGACCACTAACATCCGAGATGTAGGTAATGCCAGATCACTTCCTGAAAAATTTGGAATAATCCTAAAGCAGAAAAGTGGAAAAGAAAGCAGCCTTATGCCTGGTATCTTCATAAATCATAATCTGAACACATAAAAGATTATGCACTCATCTACAGTTGTACTCCCAAATATAAATTTCTTTCAGGATAAAGGAAAAAATGCAAAACTCCTAGAGGAACTAGAACTTTTGGAGGTTTTATCTAAACATTAAGTAATAGGAAAATATAAGGATGGTTCAGAATGCTTTTCTTAAATCACAACCAGTTATACAAGCTGAAATTTATTCAAAGATTTACATTTAAACACATGCAATTGCACAAGTCTAAGAAGCTGTTGCCTACAGAGCTCCCACAAAATGCCTGAAAATATTACTACAGCATGACAATAACTTTCACAACATAATGGTTACTTATTCCAAGGTCCTCTCTGGAATGAGAAAGACTGATATAGAACAGTAGCAATTGTCACAATGAATTAGCAGAAGTAACTTTCTCCTTGACAACAAGCTGGTGACTCAGCTTACCTGATAAAATAATTCCAGTATTCCTTTAACAGAAATCTTTCAGCCAATACTCTAACTTCCCACATGAAACAGATAACTATATTTTTAAGTCATTATTTTTAATTCAAAAAGCAAATTCAATTCCACTATTAGTTAAAAACCTACACTATTTATTAAAAACCAAACCAATATGACTGTACTGTGTTACGCTTTTTCAGCCTACTCCCTAGATTGAAATAAACTATTCTAGCACAACCAAATGCCATTAATATACCTGCAGCTATGCTTGGGACTTATGACCACAGCCTCATTTGTTTGGTGGACATACCACTGGTCAAAGCAGCTATGCCATTAGGGTGTCGGCAGCATAGATTTGGACTGAGAAAATGCATCAAATGTTAAAATGCAATCAGATTATAATTTACACATTTTAATTACATAATATTAAAAGACTTCCCCTATAAGTCCACTTCATTAATACCAATGTACGTGTCTAAAGAACACCACTCAGACTATTTGGTTTGCACGTTTGTACAGGATGTTCCATTTGAGGTTTCTTGATTTCATTTCCCGTCTCCCACTTCTTTCATTTGGTACCAACATTTACAACACCTACAAATTAAACAATCCACTAGTTTATTGTGCCCTTTGTCTCCATTATGTAGAAAAGTTGTTAAATAAAACTAGAATATGGATCATCCCCTGGAAATTTCCTCCAACCTACTTCACGTTCCTTATCAGGCCACTGCTATTACAGAATGCTGAAGTCTCTGGAGATATGACTTAATGGTTGTCTGTCTTTTCAGAAAAACCTCTGGGTTTGGAGGAGTTTTACAAGGTTATTTTTAGTCAGAATCAGTTCACTGACACAGCATAGTCAGCAGGCTCCAAACTAGCTGGTGCTAGCCTGATTGCATGAGCAAACAACTGCGGACAGAAAATCCTTAACCCAGTACTACTACCATGAAATTGTTTAGATAGACTACAACGTGCAGGCTGTGCAGAAAGGTCTAGCTCCTGCTCACAGAGCCAGGTTATTTTAAAATTAGTCAGCTTGAGTACCAGTAATCACAAGGGCACACAGCCAAGTATGGCTTAGGAATCCAAGTACTTAACTATCGTTCTTTAGTTTTTGCTGAAACCCTTGCTGAGCTCCACGCTCCTGAGACTGCATCGGATGTTACCATTTCTAAAATATGCGGGCTGTAAAGAGTACCAAGCAGTATCTGGTAGCTTTGCTTTGTTGCAGTTGCAACAGGAGTACAATACATACATATACAAGGACTAAAGGAAGGATTTGTTTTCTTTTCGAAGACAACTGAAAGACATGTGGTGAAAAACCCTACAAAAAATCACTTGGATATATAGCTGGATAGACGCTATCATAAGGCACTGAAGAGAACAAAATACCACTTAACTTTAAAGTGGCTGCTGGGTCAAAACACACAGCTTAAATCCATTTGTTGAAACCTCTTTTAAAACAAATTACTAGAAAGACACAAAAATTACCTGCCAAACACCGATACTTGCTGTAGGTTCTGCAAATGGACGCTTGTAAACTCTACACATCTTTAAGGCATCAGAATATATCTCTGTGATGTTGTTTAATACTGCAAAGACAGCTGCCAGTGGATAAACACATGAGAAAAGACTCACATAGCCGAACTGTAAGAACAACTCCAGGTAATCATCAAAAGTACCCTGGAAAAAAGAGCAAAAATAAGAACAAGTTTAACTCACAAAAAGAAACACAGAATTAACAATACAGTTGTAAACATGCTTCCTCATCCCAAATCAGTTGTTTGGGAATGACTGGTGATAGAAAACAACAACAAAACAATCCCATCTAGTTAAATTTGGAATTATTCAATTACTCAAAACTTCTTAGTAAGAGGTGGCCAAGGTTTTCCTTTTGCCTAATGCATTTTCCTGAACAGTCACACTTCTTATCCTTATTACATGTAGTAACTGTATAAACACATTCATCCCATTCAAGTTCCTGTCTATCTCAGTGAAACAGTTACAGAAGGAACAGTGGGGGATAGGAAAACAGCACCATGCATTTAAACTGGCAGAACATTCTCCGAAGAGCATTGTGACAAGAAAAGTCCTAGTATTTCAGACTGTCCATGAAAGATCTAACCAGAAAGGTAGATTGGTACATAGGCAACTCTTTTCTGGTATTTCTGCTTGCTTATTTCAAAACAGTTAAGTCAGAATTAGTGGCCCACTTGAAGGCTGAAATGACAGAATGCAGCACTGACATCTGAAAGGAATAATTAGAGCATACAAAAAGCCCTATTTTGGAAAATCCACAAAACATCTATTACCTGATCTTTTAAACAAAGAACGTAGGTACTTAAATGCTGATTAAATATTCACATGTAAGTTATCAAATACTTACTTATTAGTTTTGTAGTATTAATAGTAGTTTTCTATAATTACAGCAATTATTTATGAAAGTGAAGAACCAAACTAACCTTTTTTGAGGTGTTCACTGAACAAAGGATGGTGAAATACCACAAACAAGTTAAACTGGGATCTCACTATCTTGTATTCGCCCACACCCACATATTGTCCTCTCTCAATAAAGACCTGACAGTCTGAGATAACTGAGATTATTACAGGAACCACACAAAATTGGTTTTGGCTCCATGCATCAGACACATGATTCTCTCATCTCTTTTGCTGATTATAGCTGTTAAACCAAGTGCCCTCTCCAGCATCTAGTGCTTTTATTTCTAGGAAACAGAGAAAGGCAACAGAAGCTTGCAAGCTCAGAAATCAACATGGGGTGGTCATTAGCTGCATTCTTCACTTGAGCTCATTAAGTTGTGTAGTATAGCTGGGTCTGACAAACTGATCTGCAGGCTAGACCATGAAGAGCTACCTAACTTCTAAAACCATTAAGATTTTTCCACAGAAACACTGTGTATGAACTCTGAATTTTAGTAAGGTCTTCCTTAGGGACATTTGTGCAGGATCACTCACTGGAGTGGCAGTCACATATTTGTCCCTGCTATCACTTTCTCAGACAACTGCTGCAGGAATGGAGCAATGCTTCCCTTTGTGCTCCTCCTTCTGGTAACTGCACAATATTCCCACTGCTTCTTCACACCTTTCTTCTCAGTTCTTTGCCCAGTACCTATTGACTTTTAGAACAGCAGAGCATGAAAAGGAATGTTTATTTTTCTCTTACTCAATTTATGACACTTTGTGCAGGAAAACAGGAGTCCAACATGATGTTGGACAAATTTTGAAGTGTGCCATTGTAACCTACAAGAGCAGCACGTGAACTATGACATCAAGGAAACAGGATCAACAAAGAAATTCAGGGAGAAAATGAACAAGAGAGCAGCAGAAATTTAAAAAAAAATAATTAAATTATTGCAGAATGTTTTTACATCCTAAACCGCGTTAAGGGCTGGATATTTGAAAAGTGATAAAGATGACAAACAAAAAAGAGAATTAAATCTTAAAGAGTAAGTGAAGGAAGGAAAACAAAAGAGAAGAGCCTGAAACGCAGAATTCTGTCACTCCTGCTAACCTCCTCAGTTACTAAACATAGTCAAATGCTTCCCCCTTGTGACAGATTTAATTTTAGAAATACTCCTGCCTGCTGACAGCTCACTGCTTGCAAACAAATCAGTGGTTTAATATCATTTATTCACAAGCATAGCACAATTAAAATCTTTAGACTGAAAATAAAATTAAGGCCTTGAGTACACAGTACCTTGAACTGAAACTGAGGCTAGAAGTGGACATCTCCAAGGCAAAGTCCTAACTCTACAATTGACCTGCTGGGTCCCCAAGGAAGATTATTCAGGGCAGAACAGTACCACAGGTGCAGATACATTTGATCCAGCTGGGCACAAGAAGCACCAAGCAATGTGACTCAAAGCCACCACACTGGTTTTGTATGTGCCAGCTGAGAATCAGAAGGCAGCTCAGGTCTAAGAGGTAGAGCTGCTTTGGTAAGGCATATCCACACCTGACGCCCACACACAGCTTTTGGAGCTGTGCTGGTCTATTCACAGGCACAGTGCTGGACTGTGCTGGTTTACCAGTTCAGACAGACACTAACTCAGGGATTTCTGCTGTGTTCTCTGTTGTAAGGTAGCCACGCTCTCTAAATCTCTCTCTCCTCCTACAAACTTTACCAGAGGAACGCAAGCATGAATGTTTGCACAGGTTTTCAGTTGCAAACGTAGCATTTCTTTTTGCTTTTTCCATTTCACGACCCGTTTTGCAGAAGAGAGGAATCTGATATGGTATTGATATCAAAATTCAAACTGCTATTCTCTACCTTTTACATAAAATGTAGACTATCTACACATAATTCTTATTCTGTAAAAGTATTGATCATACAGTATTAAGCTTCTTGTGACTATGCTTGCAGCACCTGATGAAGCAAGCTGTCAGACAGTCTGTAAGGCCTTAACATTCCTTTAGAACTGCAAGTAATAAATTGCACAGTCTGTTAAATATAATTAAAAATTGTACTGGGTAGGAGGCAGACAGGAATGGAATTAGGAAGACAACGAATGCCAAAGGTGTAGTTTCAAGAAGCAAGAGCTTCCAGCAGCAGTATTGGTTTGAAGAGCTCATCTTTTCTGCGCTCTTCATTTCTGGCCCGACCCAGACAAGTGTGCACTCTCTCGGGCTATAGTTTAATCCACAGTTTAAACTAGTATCACTACAAAACCAAACTAAACCAGTAACAGCCTCCCCCTTCCCTATGACACGCTACTCATCATCCTGGCAGCCTCCAGGCTACCTTTGGAGATTAAGGGCAGATTACACAAATAGTTCTTCCAGTGATACGGGGCTAGGTAGCTCCAGATTCAGCTGTTCATTCCTACGTACTCATGCTGGTGTAACTGGGATCCTGCACTGCATCAGTTTCTTGATCCAGTGCACCATACAGCCATATAAACAACACTACCAGTAAAAGTGATGAAGTTCGAAATAAGGTGCTAGACCAGACAACCAGGAATGTTTTAGGTTGCACTGACTGATGTCTCTGTCAACTACAGCCCAGAAAACTTTTAACTTTTTTACAGCAGTAAAACATACAAAATAGGTGCCCATTTCTCTCTCCAAGTTGACTTGCTCGACTAGTGACAGATCCGTATCTGTTTTCAGAGAACACATGCGTTTCTTCATCCTCTTCTTCTGTCTCTTTTGGAGCCAGTAAGGAAGCAAGGATTCTGCAAACTGATTGAGGATCTGCGAAGTTATCAGCAAAGTGGCCAAGCTCTTCAGTTAAAAAAAAAAAAAAAGGAGAAAAAATGTACAGATCTGTGATAAACCTACGATCATTTCCAATATTGTGTGTTGTAGTAATACTGTAAGTTGTTACACTATGACAAAAGAAGGCTAGTCTAACAAAATTAGTAATAGCATATTAAAAGTATAGCTGCTCTAGTTCCCATTCTTTGTTATGTGCTGAAAAGGACAAAATAAGACTTAGATGTCTAAATATTTTGTAGATGTAGATGTATCTTGGAGACAGTACACAAAGTCCAATGAAGGGTAAAGATACACACTTAACTTATAGCAACACCATTCTGTCTCTTTTGGAGCCAGTAAGGAAGCAAGGATTCTGCAAACTGATTGAGGATCTGCGAAGTTATCAGCAAAGTGGCCAAGCTCTTCAGTTAAAAAAAAAAAAAAAGGAGAAAAAATGTACAGATCTGTGATAAACCTACGATCATTTCCAATATTGTGTGTTGTAGTAATACTGTAAGTTGTTACACTATGACAAAAGAAGGCTAGTCTAACAAAATTAGTAATAGCATATTAAAAGTATAGCTGCTCTAGTTCCCATTCTTTGTTATGTGCTGAAAAGGACAAAATAAGACTTAGATGTCTAAATATTTTTTAGATGTAGATGTATCTTGGAGACAGTACACAAAGTCCAATGAAGGGTAAAGATACACACTTAACTTATACCAACACCAATAACAGACCTAAACAAGTCACTTTTTTTTCTTCTTGCTTTTTACCTTAAAGTATAGGAAATATTATGAATGTCAGGTCTGGTATAGACATGTCAAGTATTTTGCTAGAGCTCTCTTTAGAGGAACAGAGTTCTTAAGATTAAATTCTTGTTCTTTTGTTCATTATATTTAGAGCAAAAATACTTTCCTTATACCTGATTTTCATGCATTTGAGTTCAAAAAAATTAACAACAGAGAGCTGATTTCAAATACCAACTACAAATTATTTTTGCTTTTATTTATTCTCAGCTCCTCATTGTCATCAAACTTAATGATGCTCCTATCCTCAAGAGTCTCTCATTTAGAACACTACAGAGAAAGCCATTTTCTAATATAAAGGGAAAGAAGGAGAAAATGAAAAATTTTCATCTGTGTGAGGGAATAATCAATTTATTTGAAAACAGTTCCTCATTTACGGGGAGGGAAAGAATTGCTTTAACATTGCTCTGTTATGATTCTACAACTGTGCTAGAGGAACTGAAATATGGAAGCTAGATTTCTAAGAAAATATTAACTCGACAATTAATATATTTCATTTATCTATTTCAATCAATCTTTTCCCAGGTTCATCAACATTCTTAAGATGTTCTTGGAACTCACCTGCCTCAAAAGCTTCATATCAAACAGCACAAAGGCAATGTAGAAGAGGGATGCAAAACAATTTAAGAAGTTGAACTGCAATTAAAAACACTTGTTATTAGTACTCAAGCAAAAGTTCAAATGCAGAACATTAACTTGACAGTTACCTTGACTAAATAGCTTCCATGCAGATGTAAACTATTAAAATTGTCTTTACCATTTTTAAAAGTTATGTCAGAAAACCTCATTTTCAATATTGGTCCTACTCAGACTTTCATTTGACAAGCTTATGCTTTCCTCAAGCATGGTATACAAAGAAATGTGGTCATTAAAAACACATCACCTTCTACTTAACTTTCATCTTTTGGCTGTTTCCTCATAGGTAATGCAATAAAAGTGATGTATTCATCATAATTTAGGGTAATGATTTATTTTTTTCCCAAAGAAATACTTTATCAAAATACATGCATAGGATGACGTATCACTCAATATGTACAACTGTTCCTTGGTATTTGTTAGTTGACCTTTATGTTTAATCACTTCAAGAGGTTTTATGACCAAGAAAAATATTCCCTGCTTCTAAAATGAGACATAATCACAGTATTGTACCTGCAAAAATCATAATTAAGCTCTGAAGTAGGAGAAAACTTTTCCTATTTGCTATCAGTGCTGAAGCTCATGGATGACAGATAATATTGGGGAGTGCGAAGAGCCACTCATAGGTTGAAAGTGAAACTTAGGGGATGTTACTTTTTTTTTATAATTATTTTGTATAAATTTCCTATAGGGAAAAACAGAGGATTTTATTTTTTGAAAAAGGCAGAGGCAAAGCTATAAGTGATATGTGCAAGAGTTTTAGCTCTAGTGGTTACCAGTAACAGAAGGATAACAAGCAGATTAAAAAATAATAAAAAAGCATGCGGAGTTGAAGGGGGGAAAAAAGGGAACTCTGGAAGAGAATTGAATGATCTTTTCAAAAAGGAAACAAGAAGATTAAGTCTCAAAATAAGCCAATCTTTACAACTGCTTTTACTGAACATCTCACATGGGAATTAAAGATTTACAGTATACTTCCTTAGAATCAGTGTTGCATCTGGATACACACCTAAAAGAGCAACATAAGTAATCACACAAAAGCTACTCATTCAGAGTCACTAAGTAAGTAGATCAGTATATACTACAAACTGCATAGGAAAAGACTGATGGACATGTATCTCCAGCCTCCTCTCACTGATTGTCTGAATGTTACTACAGGTGGAAGTTAATACATGAACTTCTTAAAATATAAGTTTACCATAAAATCTTGCACAAAGTGAAAGGAATAGTTCCCAGTTGAAGCCAGGGCCACACCAATTAACAGAAAAACTTACATATCCAGAATCCTAATGAAAGAACAAATCAATACAAATAAAACCCCAACTCTCCACTATAAAAAGAGGCACCTGAAACAGCCTAGCAGTTACTGCAACCACAACAGAAATCCTGTTGACTCTGATATTTGTGCTAGTGTTCAGCCTTGAACAAAACCGTAGGTCAGTGAGGTAATGCTAGGAAAGCACTAGTAAAACACATGACAAATTCTCTTTTTAAATCATCTCAAAAGCTGCTTATATTACATACTTACCACTAAAACCTTCAGAATTAAATGATTCTGGTATGAAGATTCCAGCCTGTGATTTTCTAAAATACCAATAAAATTATTAATCAGTAAGCAGCAGAAGCACTTATTATATTCTAGACATTGTTATACAAAGAGTAAACAGACATTTTTCCTCCATCTAAAAATTGCTTAACTAATAGTTTATAGGGAATATTTCCTTCAACACATTATGGCAAAAAGAATTTATACTGTACCAGTACCTCACTTAACCTATAAAGCCAATCTGATGCACAATATTAACATAGATATTTTTCGCTACAACTCCAGTATTTTTTCTACTGCAAAGGTTTTTCCTTTTACATCTTTCTTTCTGAGAAAAGCTGTTTTATAACAGAAAAACCATCCATCATTCTTAACACTTAATAAAATGTGCCTAGTTAGTGACTAGCATGAGTTGTGTTAACAAGGCTGAAAAGAGACCGTCACCTATGGACCTTGCTCAGGACAGAACAGCAGACTTCTACTCTGACATAGCATGAAGTTGAGCCTGACATATGGGTGATGCACTCAGGGGACTGAATGCAGTTTTCACTTTTCACAATCACTAAATGATCAGTTCTCATGATAAATGGGTGAAAGAGGTATGCTTAAAAATATCGCAGATTGTTTCCTATGTTTTGCCAGTTATGTCAGATCTTAGCTGAAAATACGCCAGGTGGGAGGGGAGATAGGTCAGCCAGATGACCTCTTCATCCTAGTCAAAGCATGGCAGCATAAACACATTGGATAGCACAGAAAAGGCAGAAGCTGTCAGTATAGTGAGTTACATAAATATTGCTGCTGCTGAATATGTAACATCAGCTTAAAACCAAAAAAACACTTGGGTTACTTGTTAAAGATATTTTAGTCTACCTCATAAACACAACTGGGCATTTTGAATAAAGGCTTTTTATTGCAGTATAGTGAAAAAAATGAAACAAAACAGTCAGTTGAAATCTAGATATGAATTTAAAAGTCATGATTTAAATAAAACCCTCGAACAGTCATAAACAAATTGCTTGCTTTTACTATTGTGCTGTCAAGTTGGATTTGCTGAGCAAATCATTTTGACATGCATAACCAATCCGAACGTCAACACTTCTTTTTACTCTGTCTTCTGCATCAATCTCTTTTGCTTAATCTTTCTTAGGTTAATTTTCTGGGCCTCCAGCTTTAGTAACCTGGATTCTGTCCTGTAAACATATGTCATATTGAGCTACACAAAAGAATTAACTTCCCATTGGCTTCATCTATTAACTCTGTCTGAAGTTGACTGCACATGTCTGTAGAAGTGCTAAAATTCAAAATGAACACTAGCATTTCATTATCCTTATGTTAGGTTACAAAACATAATGCCCAAGTTGCTAAATAAGTCTCACACCCAGGGAAAACAAGGCAATGTATTATAACAGTCCTCCTCTTCTGCCCAGAGTAAAATATTTTGATAGGGATGTGTAATCTCTGTCTTCATTATCTATCTAGCATATACAAACACTCTCATATAACATTTAGTTGATGTTTTTAGATCTTGTTCCATTATCTTGGTGCCTCTGTCCTCTGCACAGATACATTAGTAGACCAGGATGCGTTCAGTAAACCCAGGCTGTGGATGCAAACTGGCAGGACAGTCCCTCCTGCCATCCATCTCTGAGGTCCCATCCTCATGCTCTCACCTTGCCACTTTTGGCAGTGCTATGTCTGATATCGTCAAAGAGCTAAATCAGGGAAGGGGGACTTCTGCACCAAAGGCAGAGAGAGGCTGAGGAGGAAGGCAGGATCACCCCTTTTGATGGCATGCTAGACTCAGATCAAATTACAGGAAACATGAAACTGCAGTCTCAGAACACTCAAAGTAAATGTAAGAAGTTAAAACGGCCATCTCTTTTACCCCACAATAAAAATTTACTTCAGGAAATTTCTTTAGCATTCCATTGAACAAGAACTCACAATAAAATATTCTACAAATAAATTGTAAACATCTGATATTCTAACTTCAAGAAAGAAGAATAAACAACTTTCTTACCCCATGACGTTAAGAATTCAGCAGCATAGCGATAGATACGGTTCATAATTTCAATCACAACAGCATATATGATACTGGGCACAAACAGCATCAAGCTGCTGAAGTTAGACTCATTCTCTTCATGATAATCCAGAGCCCACTGTTCCAAGTCAAAGTAAATCATCATCACGTACAGTGAGAAGTAGAGGCAAAGGCACACAAATGGTAAGGACACCAGATAAATCCGTATCTGTCTCTTAATACTCGAGTACACTGGTTCCTCTCTCCCAGTGATGGGATTGATACCCAGGACACCATGGAAGCCTGGTCTTGGTTCTTCAAACTGTCGTTTCATCAACAGCGTCCCCCAACGGTATGTCACGATGGCGCAAATCCGCTTCCAAACTTCCAGTATCACAGTGGACCAGAGCAGATTAAATGTGGCAAACATCACATATTTGTCATAGTCTTCCCATGCAAACACATAATAAGGAATCCCAATGACAGCCATTGGAATCAAAGCAAATGTGAAGTACTCTAAGAAGCCAAAGTAGAGAGCAATAGTTTCACCAAAGTAGCAGCGTATCTCATCTGTGGAGAAAAATGAATCAATTAAGACTACACTTAACATAGATGTCAGGATAATATCAACCTTGACTTTACATGAATCCCTTAGCCCATTTTTTTTTCCTAAATAACACAATGAGTATTATTGCTTTTTGTTCCTCCCTCTCCCATGTTCCAAAAACTCAGAAGGTTATTTGATTTTTTTTTTTTTGTTATATATACGTACACACAAATGTATATACATATATTCAGATGGTAGGGAAGTCAAATCTCTCAGTACCTACCAAATCAACATCAGATATCCAGAGGGGAAAAAAAAAAAGAAAAAAACACAAACCAAATCCACTAGCATTCCTGAAAACAGAATCTATCAATGAATGGCTAGGATGGTACGGAAGACATTTGATATAATAAAAACCAAACCTTAACAGCAAGTGACACCTAACTTCTAAAGATTCTCACTGGTGTATGTATACCTGGGAAACAAATTTGTTTCAGCCTGCTCAGGGCTAAAAAGGACTAGTTGTGCTTTGCCAGCCCTCAAGGAATTAAAGGAATAGATGGAAAGGTATACTGAAGATGTCAGATAGCACACCCAGGCTGAGACATTCGCTTCAGCAGACAACTGATACAAGAAATGCACATTTGCTGTACGCACTGAGGTTGTCTGCTCAGGTGTTATAAAGACTTGAAATGTACAATACTAATGGATATATTTCATGACAGATGTATTACCTCCAAGGAAGACAAGATCTCACTTATCTTACTACTAATAAAAAAATGTAGGAGTATTACCCAACATAACCCAGAAATGGCAGAACAAAATAAGATACAGAAATGCCTAGCAAACCGAGTTTAGAATGCTGAAGTCCAGTTTATCTTTGCCTCCTTGGAAGACCAGATTGCTTGTATGCCACTGCTACGTATTCATCAGCTTAACAAAACAGCCATGACATCATGACCTCTGAATTGATACTGTAAATGTACTCTCCATAAAAAAGTAGCACATCAAAAACTCCTGTGCAATATCAGAATATTCTTATGGCTTATGTTTTACAAAACACTACAGCAGAAGTTCACAACTGCCAATCAGCTAAGTCTCTGAAAGCAAGAACAAAAGGCAAACAAACAGAATAATCAGCACTCCAACATCTCTCAAAAATTAACAAATTCAAGTGTGGGCCATTAGCATCATTTCACACTCCAAACACACAACATGAAAGACATCCCTAAATTAGTACATGCTAAACAGGCTTCCTGGGATTTACTTTGAAATTTTGTGTGTATTCAATGTCAGTTAAAAAAAAACCCTCCTACATAAACAAAAGACAAGCACACAGTAAGACCCTTAACACAATACTTTGGAGGCAGGCAGTATTGAGACAGATCTTTAGCTTCCTGTAGCTCAGGAAAGAATCTCAAGCAACTGCAAGACCCAGAGAATAATAATCCAGCAAACTCCCAAATGTTTATTTTCTTATTTTGAAGTAAAGTTTACAGGTTTAGAATCCAGAACTTTCCACATTGCTAAACTAAAAATTATTTTCATTTTAAGCTTATTCAGTGTGTAAAATATACTCAAGTGATGGCAGCACGCAACAACATACAGTCTTCATACAGGCAATGAATTTAAAACAAACAGTTGTAAACACTCTCTTAACATGCCTACAACTCAAAATAGCTTTGGGAATTCCATACACTGAGGAGCTTTCCTGTCAAGAGTCAGTTTGAGAAAACAGTCTTGGCTTGGTCCATTACTGCTTTACTGATGGTAAGGAGAAATTGTGATGTGCAGACTGTTGTTACATGGAAGCTTGCAGACGCTGAATCTGCAAGCTCTGAGCCACCAATTTTGCAAGTCTCAAACCATTACACAGGAAATGCCAAAAGAGGAAGAACTTTCCCAACTGGCAAAGAGCAATGATCTAATTTCAAGATTCTGTGCTAGATGATCACAGTGCAAATGCCGAGCCTTTGAACTGCCCCTAGCTCCAACTTGGAAACTATGACCAAAGGTCTATATACAGAACTCCTGCAGCCACGAGAAAGAAAAATCAAGAGACAGAAGCCTGCACATCCAGCACTTCACTCCAGAACAGCTGTAAGTCATTACAGAAAAAGATTATCCTACAGCCATCTTAGAATCAAAGAGAATTCAATGAAGAGATGTCAACTGTGCATGACAACAAGTCTGGAAATGTGTATGTTTCCTTAACTGGAGCCTAAGCCGCTCTGTTGATTCCAAGATCGGTAAAAGCAAGGCTGGGTAAAACAAAGACTTTGGTTCACAATGGCCAACAAAGCAACTTGGGCTGAAAGGTAATGTTAGAGGAGATGAACTGCAGTGGGTTGTTGGAGATGTGAAAACGTAAACTCGTAGCGAAACAACAGACTTTTTGGTACAATACTTACCTTCCATACAGGAGTTTCACTTCTATAGAGGCTAAATGCTGGAGTAGAAGTTAGGAAGGACCCTTGCTCTTCTCACGCAAACTGAAGAGAAAACTTCTCCAGAAGAAACCCTGCACTTTATTTGTAGTGGAGTAAGTGTTCACATACCTAAAGGTTGATAGCCAACTTTCACCCGGCCATACCAGCTGTGACGGAGCTTTTTCAACTCTTCTCTATCATGCAGCGGGAAAATCTGAACTAGAATACCACTGGTCAATAATCTTCTCACTAGAAGGAAAAAAAAAAGTACCTAGCACTCCTTCAAAGGACTGTGGAGTTGATATAAGCAAATAGGTTACATTATGTACTTAGCAAGCCTAAAGTTCCTTTGAAATAAATCTAGCATTTAAATCCTAAAAACAAATAAATTTCCTGTTAGTTAAAAATTATTCATTATAGAGAGCAGTTCTAACTATTTCCACAAAGACTGTGCTGTCCACTGGAAGAAAAGGAGTAACCTTTTTACATCTATTAATTATTCCATAGGTTTGCAATATAATCAGTTGCAGTTTGAGTAACAAAAAGTGCTACAGATCAGAACTGAAATGCCATGTGTAGCTTTGTGGGGAAAGGCCTGGCTCTTTCATTTGAGCAAAGAAAGGCATAACAAATCACACTGACATAGCAAAACCAAAACAACATACTAAATTGAAGAGCCATTGTTGTATTAATTATGGGAAGATACTAAAAATATTTTTGAATTTACACTAATTCATAAATCACAACACATCTTCATTGCAAACAAACCAAGTATTCCACAATTTGTATTTAACTTTGTTATGGAAAGCAATAGCAACGGTGTGAACAAACAACTGACAAACTGCTCTAGAAGTTACAACTATAGAAATACTAAAAAAGAAAATAAATTCAAAAACAGGAGAGGGAAAGCACGGGAAGTTGTATGATAGTTTTTTACCATTTCCCATTGGCATCTGCTTGACATAACTAGAAAACTACCTTAGCTATATAAAAAATGACCCATGTAAACTCATCTGACACCTACATTTATTTACATTTCTTGAACCACTGATATGCACAGATCTCTTTCTTTGATGGTCAACACTAATGAATAAAGACATTGTTCTTGACATACAAATATTAAGATAAATTCTCGCAAGAAACTGTAGCATCTCTACCAATGAACTAGTTCCAGCTACGATAAAAACAGCATTAACTCTCATTGCTTCTTTCTCCCATGAAAAGGAAGAACTCTCGCAGCAAAGAGGAAACCAAATGAATGAAATAAAACTTCCTTCATATCATGAAATGTATAGCTCTGGAACAGTTTGTCATTCCAGTATTTTTACACAGAAACAATCCAAATATATCATTATGTAATTTTTTAAAAACAACTATTTTTTGTACTAATTATAAAAGTAATGGATGACATCAATATACATGAAAATTACCCAACTGAAAAGAGCATAAGGCCAGAGTCTCAGCCTCATGGAAAGATTCAGGATGGAATGCCCTCTGGAAGTCATCAGGTCCAGCTTCCTGCTCAAAGTAGGTCCAGCTTAAATCAGGCTGCTCAGGGCCTTGTGTAGTCAAGATCTAAAAGTCTCCCAGGACAGAGTTACCACAATCTCTCTAAAACCCTGTTCCAATGTTTGATTACCCTCATTGTGAAAAACATTTTCTCAGTATCTATTCAGAATGTCTCTTGTTGCACTGTACATCCACTGCCTCTTGTCCTATCACTGTGGAGCGGTGAGAAAACAAAGTTGATTAAAACTAGAGGGACTTTAATGCCTGAAGGATTTCTCTTCATTGCAGGAAAATTAAGTTTTTTTCACCATGAACACTATTCTACATCAACACAGTGAGTTACAGGCAACAAACTACATTGCTTACCAATTGATTTTCCTGGATACAGCTTTGCCTGAGGATATCCAGGGATGATTTTTTCGTCTTTAGCTCTCAAATTTTCGAGTTCATGTTTGATGATATACTGACATTCTGCCATTGTAAGGAAATTGTGATTGTCATCTAAATTAAAAAGAAAGCAATATGAAATTGTGCAGCATAGGAAGACAACCCTGGCAGTAAATAACTATCAAAAATTATCAGAATCAGAAAAAAAATTATTTGACAATTAGTGCCAACCAACATCCATTAGCAAAACCTCCACTTTTAAAAATAAACACCTTGGGAAGAAGTTTTCTCTAACTGGCACACATTGGCCACTGCACTTTTGACTACCCAGGTGAACTAAGAGAACAAATCACTCAAGGGACAAAGACACCCCAGAAGTACTAATTGCTGGAGGCTGGGATAGTATACCAGCAAGGACTACATACTCTTGCCTTGCTGAAAGACTCTTACTTAAGCATCCACTATTTGCCAATATCAGATTCTCCATACCCCTTTCTGCCATACAGTTCCTGAAGCATTTTCATAACAAAAAATAGTAAGATGTCAGGAAATATCTCCTTTTCAGTAATCATACTCATCTAAGCATGGTCAACTATTTTATCCTCTGATTAGATCTGGACAGAACTAAAATTATATTAGTGTTTTAAAAAAGAAAAAAAGACCAGGAGATACAGCAAAAATTATCTTTTAGATTTACAGTAGTTGGAGTTCCAGCTGCTACTAGAGAATATGTTAGCAATGACAGTGACATTAAGAATGTAAATGAAACAAAAATGGCATGTTTACAAGTGACAATTCTTCTCAAGGCTTCCTAATTTCAGGAAAGCAAGGTCACAAAAGAAAAGACACTGAAACAGTTATTGCACGCAGCAGCAGTGTTGAATAAAGCAGCATCAAACAAACAACAAAACTCAACTTTATTATTGTTTCAGACAGACCCGAGAACTTCGATATTGAAAATGCGGTAAAAGGCATCACCAAAACAGGCACATAAAAAGTATTAGTCTTGCTAAGCTGGAACTCCAATATTTCTGGAGAGCAAAATTACTTCTGCCACTGTAGAGGGGTTAAATACCTTACAGGTAGTACATTTAAAAGAAAATGTTACTGCGTTGGCATCTCCTCAAAGAGGAGAAGGAATGATTTTGCTAATTGTGCCCAAATATCATTGAATGGCTCTGTAGTAATATTTAATTATTTATTTCTGTTAGATATGTAAGTATAATAGAGCAAAATGTTTCTATTTTCTCCAGCTAACTATAAGATGATAAGCCTCAAAACTGGCTCACAGAAATTAAATTGCTTGTTAATTCATAACATTGATTGTTAATCCTGCACTCCTGTTTATCAAGTATCTTTTCTTGTCTTATTTTCAACAAAAATCTTTCATACAAACAAGAGACTATTTGGAGCATACAAAAGCATAAAGTAAAGCATAAGCCAAAAGTGAAAGCCATTGGAAAGAAAAAAAATAGTATTTCATTATACAATCTGAATTGCCATAGGTAAAAATGAGTTTTTCATGGCTTGTTCTTTCTAGTTCTGCTGTTACCATTCCAAGGAATACAAAGACCGTGAAAGATTTAGCAGCATAACTGCTTATAATCTTTAGCCACAGCTTTGCGTTGAAAAGGACCCCTAAAATTGCTTACCTGCAAAATCTTTAAAAGTTTTTCTACTGCTGTATGTAAAAGTCCTCATTGAGTTATCATTACATTCTTTCACCAAACCCACAGTTTCAGCTCCCAGCAACAGCCTTAAGTGGGAAGCTCCAACTAGATAGATAGTTTCATCTCCATTTTCTGTGACCAATGGTTTAACCAGCAGTTGTGCACCTTTAAAGTAAAGAAAGGCAAAATAAGGAAGAGAATACATTAAAATTACCTCTCAAAACCCTAGGTTTTTAGCATCCATCATATTGGACCTAGTTATCAGGAGCACTGAAGCTCATCTTTTTAAGGGCACAAAGAATTAAGGCTTCAACAGCAGCTGATCTGTGGTGTTGAGAATCTTATGGGGTCAGCCCCTGATTTAGCCCTGTTTCTGTGGAAGCGCTCACAGTGAACTGGAACAACAGAGACAGTTTGGATCTACTCCTGTCACGCTCACATCACGTAAGCAACCACTGCTTGTTTTAAGGAAACTAGACTTTTTGAAATAGAAACATCCCTCACTTATCTAACAGAGGCCTGAAAGCAAGCAGTTACAAATCCAACAGCCATGGAAATATTATTGACAAGATATAAGCTACAATACCTATAAACAATGCCTTTCTAAAAAATGCTAATTAGCCTAACTTCAATTCCTAGAAGTATACTAAAACAAGTAATGAAATACTGTCTTTGTAAGAGCCTACAAGGTAGCAAAAAGATAATTAAAATCCAACATGAATTTATCAAGATTAAATTGCTTCCTGCTAACTTAATTTTGTTCTACAACATGGTACCAAGTCTTGTGGATAGCATAGCAGATGTGATGAGTCTTCATTTTGGTAAGGTTTACAATGTTCTCATAAGCAACAACAGAAACTTGCTCTAGACAATTAATATAAAAACTAGTATCAAAACGACGTTGAAGGAGAGGTTATCAGGGTTTCACCACAAAAATGGAAGGACTCTAGAGTTCAACAGGCATGTGATCTTAAGCCACGATTTTCATTAATAACTGTGTTAACTGGGTTCAGTTATTACATATTCATGACCCCAGCATGAAGCTGTACTCCTACATAAAATTAAGCGACTTCAAAAATGTGAAATAGAGTGGGATTGGATAAACGTTAATTAAACTACAAAGTACCTGAAAACTAATTTTCTGTATGTCTTCATATTACAATGACAGCCAATTTGATTTCAAAGTGTTACAGAAGGTCATATTGTACTCACCTCCATTTGCTTTTTTGTCCACAATTCGTTTAGTGAACCATTCTATAGTTTCCTCTTTGGTGCCTTTTGCAAGCTCAATTACTACCAGAGGCCTGAAGTTAGGCTCAAAAGTATCCAAGAAAGACCAGCTTTCTGCCATCTTTTGAGAACTTGCTAAGTACAAAAACAAAATAAAAATGCCAGTGTTAAAAAAATATTTGGTATCAATCTTAAAAACCACAAAACTTTACTATAGTAGAGTTACATATGTCTGTGCTTAGCAAAGCGGCAGGTGCCTGTTTCTGTGGACCTACTGAAAAGAACAGTTTGAGTAACCTCTCCAATTGTCACTTGCCAAGATGCTCCCAGTCTTCAGTGGCATTTATGCCCTACTATGTAGGGCAATTGTTGTTGCTATGTATAGCAAAGTAGCAATGAAGAGAAAGCAAATAAATAAATAAGAACAAAGTAATAAAGAGAAACTACCATCAAAAGCAACAGCTTGCAACTTCCTACTGTATATTTTTCAGCAAACGAAAACATTAACAGAAGAGAACATTAGTCAAACATATCTAAAACCAATAAGCTCCTCCTGGTAAGAGTGTGCAAACACATTATACTTTTAAGGAGGAACCTTATCAGTGAAGGTCTCGTGAAGCTTTAACCATACCAAGGAAATTTACACTACCTTGGGTAGGTGAGCAGGACACCTATCACATAGATATGCAAATTATGCACAAAGCACTTAAATGACTTGTTGGAAGATATAAACCAGGCGTTCTGTGACAAAGTCCAGCTGCAAAGTGTTGAGGATGAGCATAGTTTTATATGTAAATAATCCAAATGAACTAAGTGAACCTTTGTAGAATCATGGAATCATTCAGGTGAGAAAAGACCCTAAGATCATCTCATCCAACCATTAATATATCACTACAAGTTCACCACTAAACCATGACCCGAAGCTCCACAGCTGCACATCTTTTCAACAACCTCCAGGGATGGTGACTCCACCACTCCCCTGGGCAGCCTCTTCCAATGCTTGACAACCCTTCTGGTGAAGAAATTTTTCCTAATACCCAATCTAAACCTCCCCTGGCACAACTGGAGGCCATTTCCTCTTGTCCTATCGCTTGTTACTTGGGAGAAGAGACCAACACCCCCCTGGCTACAACCTCCTTTCAGGTAGTTGTAGAGAGCCAGAAGGTCTCCACTCGGCCTCCTTTTCTCCAGGCTAAACAATCCCAATTCCCTCAGCTGCTCCTCATGAGTCTTCTTGACACTGTGCCTTCAATTTTTATACAAATAATTCTACAGAGATCATTATATCAGGCTTCTTAAAACAACCTAGAGGTCAAGATAAAAAGATAAATCTGGTAACTAACCTACTCAGTTTAAAAATAATACAATTAAAAAAAACAAAAAACAAAAAAACCTATCATAGACTGAATTTACTGAATTTAAAACTGAGGGGACAGTTTGGATTTTGGAGGTTTTTTCGCTAACAACTTCACTGAAGAAAGGAACTGCCTTTAAGCAGTTTTCCCTCCTCCTGTTCAAAGACTGAAATTACTTAATTTCTAAGTTGTTCCACAGATGCAGTTCAACTTCTATGACAGTTATGCTTGTGTGATTCACAGAGAAATCACAATCTCCAGTATTTCATATAAATTATCTTACAAAAACACAGTGATACGGTAAATAAATGCATATCGTAATCAACAAGTCCATTTGCTTCTGACTCGCAAAAAAAAAAGCTTTCAAGCCAAATTTCAATGAGGTTTTCAGTTAGTTTTACTTACCAATTTACATGCACACAATTCTGCAGCATTTGGATTTACAGCTCTGAACCCAAGCACGTATATCTTTAACAGTATTTTAAAACATTTTAGATGCAAATCTGCACAAGCAGAATGAATGAAAGGAAAACATAATCAGCAATTAGGCACTGTAACTGTGATTGTCAATGATTGACTACACTGTCTTGACAAGTCACTCCACCTTATTGCACCACTTTCCATAATCAGGTTTGAGGTTTTTTTTTTTTAAAGGTAACAGCTGTCACATTGTGCATATTACAACTTCTACAGATTTTTAAAAAATGAAAAGTACTAGTTACTAATTATTGCTAGTTAACTGTTCTCTACAGTGATACAGATACCATTCGAAAACAGTTTTTGTATAAACAGCATGCCTCCCATCGTTCACCGTGCTTGGTGTGGTGACCAAGTTAAATTTGTTACAGGCTTATTACGACTGAAAACTCGAACAGCGCTGCAGCGCTCTTCCAACCTGCGTTTGTGATTCCCTATACCACAGAGTCCAACACCTAGCATAGACCCAGTGGGATGTAATCTGGCCTCTTCTTTCGTACCAACGTGCAGTGTAACTTATGACAGACCCAGAAGCCCGGGGAGCCGAGACAAAAGGACCTCTAACTCCCACGGGTCACTTCCCAGTCACGAAGCC